ACCAGACAACTAGCCCCATCCTCACCCCAACAATTACCCCCACCCGGACATCTACCCCTGGAATATTACCCCTCACCCACCCCGATAACTACCCCTCTGACAATTTACCCCCACCCAGACAATAACCCTCCACTCTGACATCACTCCAACACCAAGACAATCACCACACCCCAAAAGAAACCCAAGCCCCCACCCAGACAACTACCCCCAAAAGAACCAAACTCCCCCATCCCATCAACTACCTCACTCGAAATAACTACCAGTATCTCACTCCATACCCCCAAAACGCCGACATCTCACACCCCCTCCACATCTCCCACACTCCCAAATCTAACTCCCCCACCCACGTCTCATCTCACACTCCCCCCTCTATATGGACGCTCAACCCAACCATCCCCAACATCCCACTCATACCCCCCAATACCTCATTTACCCTCTCAGACCCTCCGTTCCACCCTTCCTCTACATATTTCCCTTTACCATCGAGGCTGTCAACGCTGGGCTGTTCACTATATCCAAAGCTGAGATGCACAGATTTTTAATTAGTAAATATGTCAAGGATTATGGGGAAAGTCAGGAAAGTGGTGTTCAAGACTATCAGATTAGCCATTCAACACCCTGAGTTACTGTTGACCTGAAGATTAACTGTACAAGCCATACAAATAGTGTCAAAATGAGCAGATCACAGGCTAAGAATTCCCTGGAGAGCAGACTCGATGGGCTCAACGACCTACTGCTAATCCAATGCTTTGTGGACACCTCTCCACTCTCTCTTTCCTACCCACTAAGACATTTTCCTTGTTAGTCATCTCCCCAAAATAGAAACCCTCATCATCTCTGTCCTCACCTCTCTCAAACTCCTCCTGGTCATCCTCACCCTTGACCCTCCAAACCCCTAAACAATTCTCCCCTCCCAAACCCCCAGACATCTTTCTCTTCTCTCTCCCAACCCCCCAGAAATGTTTATGAGTTAGACTAGAGAAAAGTGCTAGTTCTTTTCCCGATCTAATTAGGAAGCATTGTTTGTGTGGTGGTGAGTTTAAAGTTAACAAAGTAAAAGGTAGAAAGAAAAACTCAATAAACCTGGTACTTTTAGGTTGGCACCGAACTTCTAGATTGTTGTAAATACTCAACTGGCTCAATGCCATGGAGTTCCTCCTTGGCCAATTGTGAACAAGGAATGAGTGCAAACTTGCCACAAAGGAATAAAGTTGTAGATGACCATGTAGAGTGAGAATCAGGAACTGTGTGAGATGATTTTCGTCTTCCCAATGTCTGGTTGGAGTAGGCTAGAGAACAATTGTATTGCGCATGTTATAGTTAAAGGAATTTCATTTTTAAAAAAAAATCACTTATGGGATTTCTTGCTAGGACAACATTTCTTGCACCAACTCGAGAAGTTGGTGCTGAGCTGCCAAATTGAGCTGCTGAAGTCTTTGGTGGCAGGTACACCTACAGTGCTGTCAGACGTTGAGTTCCAGGACTTTGACTCAATGACACTGAAGAAACGGTGATTTAGTTCTGAGTCAAGTTGGTGTGTGGCTTGGAGTGAATTTACAGGTGGTCTCGCTCTCATGCATCCACTACCCTTATTTCATGTATTGCAGGTTTAGAAGGTGATGTGAAAGGAGACTTAGTACATCTTGTAGATGGTACACACTGCTGTCATGGTGCATTTGTGGTGAAAGAAATGATGGTAGATGGGGTGCCAAGCAGGCAGCTGCCTTGTCAAACTTCTTGAATGTTTTTGGAGTTGCACTTATCCAGTAAAGTGGAGAGCAGTCCATTAGACATCTAACTTGTGCCATGTAAGCAGGCTCTAGGAAGTCAGGAGGTGAGTTACTCGCCAGGGAATTCTTAGCCTATGACCTGCTCATGTTGACACTATTTGTATGGCTTGTACAGTTAAGCTACAGGTCAGTAGTAACTCTCAGGGTGTTGATTTTGCAGGACTTCACAATGGTAATACCATTGAACATCGAGGATTAATGGTCAGATTCTTTCTTGTTAGAGACAGCCATAGCTTGGGACTTGTGTGGTGTAAATGTTTATCAACCCAAGCCTGAAGTGTTGGACATGTCTTTCCACATACTTATGTGGGCTGCTTCAACAAATTGTGAATGTTGCTGAACATTGTGCAATGGTCAGCAAACATCCCCACCTCTGACCTTTTGATGAAGGGAAGCAGCTGATGCCTTTTGATTTAATGGGGCTTTTTTTTATTTTTGAGTGTCCCTTTCACAGTCTCATGTACACCTTCATTAGGTGATGCAGTAAGTAGTAACAACAACAATAATTAGTAACAATATCTTCCATCTTCATGTCGATATGCTGAGGATTTAGATTCGCACACAGGCAGAATTCGAATTTTCATGAATATCCCCAATATCATCATTCCATTAAACTTAAAGTTTTAAGACGCTTAAGGAAAATATTACTTTCTTGGACATCTTAGTATTTAAATTGGCTCTAGACATAAATTGGCAGCAAGTATTTTTAAAAAATAAAACTGACCCACTTCTATCCAGAAAAAAGCCATCAACCAAAACATGCTTTCTGCAGACTGGTGGCATGGTGGCTCAGTGGTTAGCAATGCTGCCTCACAGCACTAGGAATATGGGTTTAACCCCAGCCTTGGGTGACTGTGTTGAGCTTGCATGTGTTTCCTCGCACAATCCCAGGATGTGCAGGTTATGTGGATTGGCCATGGTAAATACAGGGATAGGGTGGGAGGCTCTTCATAAGGTTGATGTGGACTTGATGTGCCAAATGACCTCGTCCTGCACTCTAGGATTCTATTGTGAGGTCACAAGTAAACCATTATATGTTTGTCTCTAACATGGCCTCAAGTATTTCCTAGTAAGTGAAACACTTCGAGATGTGATAACACACAAATGTAAATCTTTATGAAATTAAACAGTACAGTATTAAATAATTGACACAATGTTTATTTCAATCACTTCCATTCCATATTCCACCCCACCCCACCCCACCCCATGCAGTAGCCCCTGAGCTCCTGCAGCCTTAAAGTTTCCACAATATTGCAGGGAATTTATGATTTGATAAATGTCAAGTAACATTTCCACCATACAAGCCCCAGGCTATAGCTATCTATAACAAGACAGAATCTGACCATTCATCATTGATGTTCAATGGTATTACCAACATTGCGTCTTCCAAAATCAACAATCCTGAGGATTACCATTGATCAGAAAATAGTGTCTACGTGAGCAGGTCAGACATAAGGAATTCCCCAAACAGTAAATTGTTTTATTTTCATGTTCCCATTTAGGAGAGTATTTCTTTGTTGAAATGTTTAAAAGTGTTTCTTCCCTTTGCAACATTTCTCTCCCATTTTACACCTTTTCCAACCTTTGGAGGCTCTTTGCCCCATCTCCCCAACACACATACACACACACACCTCTCTCACAACTTTACAGCCTCATTTGCTCCAGGCTTTTGGCTTGGCTGCACAGGTCCTGGTCTCACAACCCACTACTGAGAGGCCTCTCTCACAGACTTGCTGGCTTTGCTCACTGACCTCACTCCCTGCCTGGCCAGCATAGTTTCTATCCTGTCCACTTGCTCTGTCACTGACCTCATTCCTCCAATTGCAGGCTGATACCCTCCCACATTTGCTGCTGATGGACTCACTTTGAACTTAGCAGCAGTAAGCATGGGAGGGAGCAGCCTGTGATTGAAGGAACAGTTCCCAACTATTTCCTTCCATTCTATTTACAGGGGTGTCCTTTCTCTGATTGGTCAACCCCATGAGTGGCTTTCCTAAGGATTTTGGGATTTCTGGGTCATATCCACTCACCACCCCAATATAGTTTGATTGCTGCCTCCAATGCTGACAACCAACTTCCATTATGCGTGTAACTCTGCAATCTGTGTTGTCCTGATTCCTATTACAGACCTACGAATTAAGAACAAGAGTAGGCCATTCATCCTTTCAAGCCTGATGCGACATTCAATAAGAATATGGCCAATCTGTTTCTGTTCTGAATTCCAAATTCCCATCCATCCCCAATGACCTAAGACACTGCCGCCTAACAATAATCTTTGCCTTAAAAATATTTAATGACTCTACCTCCATTGTTTTCTGAGACAGAAAGATCAAAGCTGCTCAAAACTTATCACTATCCTAAAAGGGTGACCTCATATTTTATAAGTGTCCCATCTTCCCAATCTGAAAAAGACTCAATTTTGCATGCACTTTGTTTCCTGCTGGTTTAACTCCAGTTTTGTTATCACTCCTTGACACCATACTCAGTTAAATGCTACCTTGATGTCAAGGCCAATCACTCTCAATGCACCTCTTGAGTTCAGTTCTTTTGCCTATTTTTGGACCAAGGTTGTAATGAGGTCAAGAGCTCAGAGTTCCTGGCAAAATTCAAACTGAACATCAATGAGCAGGTTATTGCTGAGTAAGTGCGACTTGAAAACGCTGTTGCTGTCCTCTTTCAACTATACTGGAACATGTGGCTAATTCAGGAGGATGGCCTTCAATTCTATAACCATTTTAGCCTTTTTAGCACCCGGTTCCTCTAACCATTTCTTGATATCATGTAGAGTGAATCAAATTGGCTGAAGACTGGCATCCATGATACTGGTGTCCTCCGGAGATGGATCTTGCACTCAGCACTTAGGGCTGAAGACTGTTGCAAATGCTTCAGCCTGGCCTTTCTCTCAATATAAGTACCAACACCACATGACAACAAAGCATATTTCAATTAACCTGTACATCAGTTGGTATTTGTTGGATCTTGCT